CTACAGCACTGGCAAAAATTTCGAAGAAAAATCGCAACAGCAAACTTTTTACAAAAAAAAAAACGTTTTTCTGAATGTTTGTTTAACACACTGTAACTTTGTTGGGAGCCAGTTTTTGATATAGGTAAATATAGCAAAATCCACTTATTTTTTGGTAATCTATCTGAGGATGAATTTATGACATACCTTTTAGAAACACCCTTTATATACATGGTGGACTAACGAAAACTTTACACCCCGAATTTCCAGCTTTAAAATAAAAATCGGGAAAAACCCTCAAACCCGTCGATTTTTAATTCGAGGGGGAACAAATTGTTTGGTTTTTTCATACACGTAACTTCAACTCTTTAACAGGGGGAAGCACAACCCCTGATTTTGAATAGGGGTGAGGTGTGTTGCAACACGTCATTTTGAAGATCTCATCGAGTACTATCTGACCCTAAAACTTTACGTCAAAATGATCATCGATAACAGCTAAAATAGTGAAAGAGACAATGTGGAAAAAAATGTCTACTTATTAACAAACAAAAAGAATACTTACGTCTGTGATTAGTATATTAAATGCTGGAAATGGACACTATTCACTTCTATGCAGTAAAATAAGTTTTGTTTTCTTTAAGGATAATTATTCTTATCTGGTATTTGAGAAGTATTAATTTGTGTAAATTTTTTGTAAACAAAAATGTTTTTTGTTTTATGGACACCGTTTGCTCGAGTTATCTCAGTTCATCATACATTTTTAAGTACGTTGCCACTGTGTCAATTTGATTGATATTTTTTCAGTATACTTTATTCAACGTACGTTATCCTGAAAAAAATGTCACCTCTGCTTTCGTTTTGAAACTGGTTCAGTCGAAAATAAAAAGAGTTCATGAAAGAGACGAAGCGAGGGAAGATCATGTAGCAATGAATCCGATCCTTAGTACTAGAAAATTGTCCAACGTATCTGGTGTATCACATACGACAATCAGAAGAACCCTTAAACGACACAAGTTTCATCCTTTTAAAATATGATTGGTTCAGGAATTGAATGAGAATGATTTCCAGTTCTGTGAAGTGTTAAGTGAAAATATTAACAATAATCAAAATTACAAGTTCGATATATGTTTTCCGGATGAGAGTTCATTTAACCTCAACAGCATTGTAAATAGGCATAACTATCGATATTGGTTAGATAAAAATCCAAGAGAATTTCATGAAGTACATATTCAGCATCCCCAAAAATTAATGTTTGGACATGTATTTATGAAAAGTACATAATCGATCCCTTTTTTATACCCGGTAATCTCAATGGCGAAGTGTATCTGGAATTATTAGAGAATGCTATTTATCCAGCCCTCGTGCAAGTATTGGTGAATAAGGAAGACCATCATACCATTATTTTTCAACAAGATGGCGCACCAACTTATTTCGTACCTTAGACTAGGTAATAAAGAGAGGACGCGTAACAAGTATATCGAGCACACGTAGTATTCTGTGCCGATTATCTATTGACCGCCATTATTTTGCTGCTCAGCATTTCGGTGACACCAAAGTTTTTGTTCGTGTTTATTTCTGATTTTTGAATTAAACGACATTTAATAATTGGTTTATTACAATGGTTTATTGTGTGGCATATCAATGTAAAAGTTATAGCGACAAGAAAGAAGCAGATATTTCGTTTCACAGGTAAATGATAAACATCAACCTTTTTTACTTTATATATTTTCTTATAATTTTCATTTTATTTGGTGTTATACAACTTCGTATTTACATATTGTACATGTCTCACTCCAGAGTAATAACTTTTACCCACCAAGTTTGTTTATTTTATATAGGGGACATATTCAGTGGTCTTACAAGTCACCTGATCTGAATCCACTGGACTTTTTTCTATGGGCTCATCTAAAATGATTTACGCTTCCCAGCCCGAATCACTGAATGGTTTGCAAAATCGTACATGTTGCGTAATGTACGAGAACGTTTTGAACAAAACTTATTTTACTGCATGGAAGTAAATGGTGGCCATTTCCAGCCTTTAATAAACTAATTACAGAAAGTATTCTGTTTGTTTGTTATTAAGTAGACATTTTTAAACATTGTCTATTTTACTGTTTTAGCTGTTATCGATAAAAATTTTGACGCGAAGTTTTAGGGTCAGATAGTACTCAATAAGATCTACAAAATGAGGTACTGCAACACCCCTCAACCCAAACAAGTTGTTCCCCCTCGAATCAAAAATCGACGGTTTCGAGCTTCTTTCCCAATTTTCATTTTAAAGCAGGAAAAACGGTGTAAAGTTTCCGTTGGCACACTCTGTATAGAAGATTACTTTTATAAAAATACGCATAATAGTAGTCGGTTTGCATTTTGTTTGGGAGTCTCAAAAATTGTGATTTGAAAGTTTTAAAATGAAAGTTTTGGCTTTCTGATCGTGACTTTGGCCAGATAATGATTTGATGGCCTGGACTTACATAAAAAGTGCTGTTATCTACAAAAATTAAGAGTTTTTTTTTTGAGAATTGGCATCGAAATGTAGTTTTTTTAAATACAGCGAAAAATTGTTTATTTATATTTATTTAATAAAATAAAAATTCTTGATGTATAAAGGATATTTAGGAAAGAAAGGTTTTTTAGAAAATCTGAACGATGAGAATTATGGTTGCTACAAGAAAAAATTAAGTGGTTGATATCAACAGAAGAAGAATTAGCGAGTTGACAAGAAGATGACAAATTAATACCATTTCTGGAAAGGTATGACGGAAAACCCCAATGATTCAATTTACATCCTTGTTAAAGTCGTACAATAATATCTGGACATTTTAAAATTTGTAAGGTGAGGCATAGATTTTATTTCTGACAGATTTCAATAAAATTTTGTTCATTTTTAAAACGGAAAAAATGTACCAATTTATTACCTTCCCAGTATATTTAAATCAGGTACCGTTGATTATAAGAGTTTTGTTGTTGCTAGGTTGTTGCTATGTTACTTGTTTATAAACAGAACTTTGTTATCAAGCTGTGTTTGCGTTAAAAACTATTTCTACCCCAAAAAAAAGCTGAAAAAGCAAGAGAATCATTAATTCCGTCGAAAAGTGAAGCCGTATACCAAAAAGAATACAAGATATATCTGGAGTGGCTGACACGGAATAATGCTCTGCCAAAAGATGCCACTAAAACTGTATTACTGGCATATTTTCAAGAATTGGTAACGAATATTGTATGTTTTTCGGTAGATTTGGTAGTAATTGTGTTTGTTCGTTGCAGTCAGAAACGTATAGTCTGAATTCTTTATGTACTAAATGGTCAATGCTTAAATCGATGGTGACTATACATGAGAAACGAGATATCACTAAGTTCAATGAACTAGAGGCTTTTTTGAAACGAAATAGTAAGAGTTATAAGCCGATAAAGTCTGCTGTTTTATCTTCTAATGATGTTATCAGATTTCTAAAGAACGCTCCTAATGAAATTAATTTATTGCATAAGGAAATTTTTTTCCTATTTTCCTTTTTGTGTGTATTTATTTCCTTTTTTTTTGTTTTAGGTTGTTTTGATATGGGTTATTTTGGAGGATGCAGAAGTCAGGAACTTTTGAATATGAAGATATCGGATGAACGTACCGGAAAGTAAAACTGGGGTATCGAAGAAATTTACAATTGTGGATGAAAAAGAGTTCTCCGCTTTGCATTTGTTAAGTCTTTATATGTCTTTGCGTCCTAACGGCATTAAACGATTTTTTTAAGCTTCCGACAAAATAAATGTACATCTCAGCCAATTGGAAAAAACATGTTTGGGAAAATCCCCACTAAAATTGCACAGTATTTAGGATTGCCAAACCCATCTTTCTATACGGGACATTACCTTCGTCATACTTCTGCTACTGCTCTAGCCAATGCAGGAGCAACTATGACTAACTTAAAAAGTCACGGAGGTTGGAAAAGTTCCACGGTGGCGGAGGGGTATCTGGAGGATAGCATCGAATTGAGAAATAAAACGGCACGTATGTTGTCTACTTTGCCATTAGAAGAGACAGGTACCTCGACTGTAGTGAACAGAAGATCCAGCCATACAAAAGAAAAAATTGTTTGCAGTAGCGGTAGTAATTTTCAGGGAACATTTCAAAATTGTGTATTTATTATTTGTAATGACGCTAATAAATAAAATATGGTTCAGATTTAATTTCATAAATATACTACACATATATGTATATTAGCATTTTTTTATTTTATTTTTACTTGTGAAAGGTAGAGGGAATTATAGAATTTATAATGTCCCAAGGGAGTTACGACCCTCTTTATTGATAGCGTAACTATAACGATATAAGCTTATAATATCCTTGTCAGAAATAAAATAGATTTCGAATCTGAAAGAATAACCGATTTGCTTTCGCCATAGCTTTTTATCCAAATGAGTGCTTGTATAATTGCAAACTTCCGCTGTATAAACAGATAAATAATTTGGTAGAGTTATAAATGGCTTTAATAAGAATAGAATTAAGATTAAAGCAGAGTGATCAATGATCGTGACTGATTGCAGACAAATAGCGCGATCAACAGCAATAGATATTGAATGGTTCAGTTTGAAAAGAAACTTTTAACCAATGTACACAATTTCTGTGAAAGTTTTAGGTGCTTCCATATCAATAATAAGACGATGACGAGATAAAAATCGTAGGTCACGAGTCCCTAGATGTGTTAAAGATTCATATACTTGATTAAAACATCAGAGAGTTCACTGATAATTAATAAACAAAATTATATTTGAAGTTTTCATCAATTAGAAAAGGGTATGCTAATACTTAACAGACATACATGGTAGTTTTGGAATTAAAAGTACCTATTGGGGAATGGTTGAACGGTTGAATAATGGTAATCGTAAGATGCATAAGAGTAAATAAAAGGATACCTTGAACAAATTTAAATAAAAGGAACTAAAAAGAAATGAGTCTGGACAGAAAGAAATGAAATAAAAGTAGGATTTAACACATACATTAATTAACTATTGTAACTCCAATTTACCTGCAATGTACTAATATCGGAGTTAGTGAATTATGTGGTATTTTTAATAATCTTTGCAAAAACGGCACCAAACTTTGTGAATATAATGGTACTCCATGATCTGGCCAGGTTGTGTAATGCATTTGAGTAACCTAAACAGACAAAAAATTATATTAGATCAAAATAAAACAAATTTATACGCTTTGGAACTGACCTGTCTTTCGTGAGTTTCAAACTGAACATTAAAAATTCTCAGAACGAAATTAGCGAAGACGGTTTCTGACACATACTGGATTTTAACTAAACCATATGTTTTTTCTTCGTTTATATCGGGCCAATATTTATCAACTTTTTTCTAAAACAAAAATATTGGGTGAAACAAAATTTTCAAAGTTCACAACACTCATACTGAGTTTTACCTAAATAATCAAAAAATGTTGATTCATCACAAAGCTTAAACTTTACAAAAGTCAGAGCTTTAAATAGCTGATCAAATCACAATGTTTCCCAAATGATTTAACATAAATTTAATAAAACATTGGCATAAGTCTAAGAGGATAGCTATTCACTAAGTCATGGGAGCGCTCCCATGGGAGTGTTCCCATATATTTTGCTCTCTTATTCTTAGGTGGGTATATCGTGCTTACTCACTTTTAGCCCAGGTACATGCGTAGTTAGGTCGGAGTAAGCACGATATACCCAGCTAAGAGTAAGAGAGCAAAATATATGGGAACACTCCCATGGGAGCGCTCCCATGACTTAGTGAATAGCTACCCTGGTGATTAAGCAGACAAAATTAAACAAAAAAGTTTTATATAGTTATGTCCTAAAATCAACCGTTTACTTTTTAACCACATTTAAACATTTTTATTTTATTTTAAATTTTTCGCAATCTATATCAAAACTTCTACCTGTCATATACATACTCTTTCATAAACAAATTCAGTATTTGTTTACATTCCTAAATGTTTTATTGTTTTCTGAAGTTTGTTGTAGTGTTATTGTATGACTTAAGTGACGATGCTTATTTCATTAAACCTTTCTTTTATTCTTTGAGACAAAACATAAGTGAATGTTTAAAGGTGCATATATGAAGGTAGGCCGGAGCGCCACGGCAAATAATAATAATAGCCGTCCCTTTCCCCGGACAAGCTCAGCTTTTGGGGTTAAAATTCACTCGTAAGGGGGTGAATTAGGGAGAGTATTATTATTATTATTATTATTATATGTACGCACCTTAAAGGTGCCTTTAGAGATAATTAAATTCGTGATAAATGTTTTGCATCATTTTTACAACAAAATACATAGGTTTCAGAGTTCGAATGAGTTTAGGAATATAATCTCTAATATTTTGCTCATTTTCTTTTAATAATTACATTTATAGTGACATACAACATTTTGAGAAAATCGGATTATTTGAATTTTGGTAAAAGATATTGAGTGATCCAAGAAAACTGTTCCTAAAGTAAACCTTAGAAAAATTCACGTAAGTCGGAGCGTACAATTATTCTTCTTTTCAAATGCCAGTTTGGATTTAATTCGAAGGCGTTTGTGGTTATCGCGGACATGACTCGGATCTTTGTTTTTATCGGCCATGGCCTACTTTAAAAACTTCTTTGATGGATCACTCTTAATTACAAATTTATTTTCTAAATTTTACATTCACTCGCAAATCTAAATTCTGAAAAACTTTTTTTAAGGTAGTTCATTCGTAAAACGGCTTTTCTTAAGAATTCAATAAAATTGAAATATAAGGTTAATGAAGGTGTCTTTTATGTAACCACAAAAAATTAAATTTTTTGACCGTCTGTGAAACGAGATATTAACAATCAAAATGTGCATTTTTAACACTCTTGAAGCCTGTCATGTATACAAGCACTGCATTTATTTTAAGATATCTCGAAAACGGTTCTTACCATATTTTTTAAAAATGAATGTAATGTAAATCAAGAAGTTATAAAATTTTCTAAAAAAACGCTGAATTTTTGACCGTCTTAGTAAAAAGATATAAATTTTTAAAATAAAAATATTTTTAAAGCAATCGACACGTAGTTGAGTAAAATGATTACAACTTGGCAACATTGTATACGCTGCAATCAACGCGTGGTACCAAAATAACACTCGATCAGCTAAGAGGTTGGTATAACCTCTCGACGTGTTTTTGAAAAATTCATTCATTCACTGTATTTGAGAACTGGAATCAGCGGTTCTGTTTGAACCAAAACGAACCCTTAAAATTAGTATGAGAAAGTCACAAATTTCTGTAGCATTCCATTCATATATTTACCAGGTTGTCGGATGGATTTTATTAAAATTGTAACTCATCCATATAAACTTACATGTGTTTTGTACAGTCTTTTACAAAAACAAAATTGATTAGTATTGAGAATCTCGAACTATTAATATTCACCATTATGCGATATTTTTATGTACGACTGTCGCGAGTGAACTACCCTAACAAAATATTCTTTTAATTTCCTAAATTAAGATGCTATCTGTTACATAAGTTTTGAGAAAAAGTTTTAGCATGTATAATTAAAAATAACCCACCTTTCCATTTTCATGAATATTTGCCAACATTATAATGTCTTTAATATTTTCTCGCCAAATCATCCACCAAAAATCGTTTAGAGTATTGCTTTTCGGTCCTTGTGTAGCTATGTATGCCCTTGGTTTTCGGTAACCCTAAAAACGTAATAAGAGATAGTTTGTATATTAAAATAACCCTTTGGACTCCCTCTGCTACACCCTAATCTGTCTGTAGCCTTGCAGTACTGTAGTAAGCGGCTTACGGTACAATCATTTAAAGGACATATTTCTTTTTCATTTACCAATTCAGTCCCTCATTCATCCTCTTTTATTCCACGTCATCAATGGTTAAACGCTAGTCAGCTAAGCCCCATGCTGACACGGCCCATGGTTACGCATCCACAACGTGACCGGAGAGACCACTGCTTAACTGTTGCGAAAATGTGGATGCACACTACTCTCGCCTTATCTTTCCGGCGAACTATAACTTATCCCACTCATTTTCAACCTAACTTAATCTTTATTGTCTATACAGGATGTTCCATCTCAGACGAGTAATTGGAAAAATTTCCCGAAACACATCGGATGATTTTCTTTGGGGGACATCTTTTGACGTATATTTTAGGCTTGAACGAGCAACCCCCTATAAGGGGGCGCTTCAACCCCACAAAATTGAATAGGGAAGAGGGGTTGAGTGATACTTCATTTGTCAGGTCCTATAAGCCTCTTTACAACGGTGTATGAAAAAAATCACATTCTTAAAAAATCAATTGTTTTTTTTCGAAAGTTTGAAGTGGCACAAAAATGGCAAAAATGCACCCAATGGCTCAAAACTTTTTTTTTGAGTACTCTATTGTGTCTACAATACGATTACATTACAGAAAATTCTGCAAATATATTTAATCTAATTTTTTGACCACTGTTCATTGAGTGACGATCAAAAAACACGGCTTTTGAGAAAAGTTGCCTAAAATTACAATTTTTAGATATTTTGTCTGAAAATTAAACAAACCCAAATTTCATGTCTTCTAAATGTGTATACAAAGTTTAAAGTGTGTATGTTTCTTCTAAGTTGTAGAATTCTCCCTACAAAAGTCCCTTTACACGCGCTCCGCGGGATCCAAAACTCGTGTATACACTACATTACTGTAATTACTGAAAAAATCATATGGGAAAAAAATTAAAAAAAAACTACGCCTCTGGTTTCCTGCGAATTCCCGAAAAATTATGTCAGATTTCGCCGCGGGACTTATTTTATTTGAGAGCCAACAAAAAAATACGCAACTTCTCTCATGGGCACATATGTCTAACATTTATAATTTCGCCACAAATTTATCGCAAATTTCATGTCCATGGTTCTGATCAAAAAAACGAAAAAACGACTTTTTGGTAAAAGCACTTCTGGCGGCGAGAAATTTGCCATTAAAACTACCTGTGCAATGAATTTCCGAACTATTTTTGCCTCCTCTTTCGAATGGTGCATTTATTTTCCCTATCGGAATAATACTTGCCCAGATAATTAGCATTTTAACAATGGAAAATTCTGGAAAACCCGGTTTTTCCTAATTTAAAAAAAATTGAAAAACTGCTACATCTTTTTTTTCTTTTTTTCGGAAAGATCACATCAAAATACATAAGGTTCTTTTTGTTTCATCCAATTACAAATTAATGTAAGCTCGAAGGGGCTTTTTCCGTTATTTAATTGGACTAAAGTAATTATGTTCGTAAATTATTGAGCTGTTGTATCTAAAAAATTTGATTTAATGAGCTTATGCTACACTTAATGTACATCTTTTGTATTAGAAATTATGTAATAATTGAAGCCCAATATGTTCCAATTATAGCTCTTAGAAAGTCTAGATACCCCTATAGGTATACTGCAATTCAAAAAAAATTACCCCCTTATTCTGGCCGCCATGTTAAGTATATTATGTTTTGGCTACACTGATTTTTAGTTTTTGTGTTCTGACAATATGCATTTTGTTATTATTTGTGAGATGAATAATTTATAGGTTAGGTCCGGTGTTGACACCGAAAATTAAACAAGCGGTAATTGTGTTTAAAGATTTTTCGATTTCTTCATTGAAAAAGTTGACTAATTAATAGTAAAAGTGTTACCATAGTGTGTTTAAGTGAAAAACTACCAATAATCATAAATTATCAAACCTAGTAAGTCATTCTGTCCCAATTTTTACGGTTAAAAACAGTTTTTGCCAGTCGAAAATAAACAGAAGTAGATAAAGGTCAAGAACGGGTCTAGATATCACCGCCGTTCAGCGCTTACTAATAAAGAACAGGACCGTGTTTAGGATTAAGCTAAATTAATTTATTTAACAATGGATGAGTTTCCCGAATTAGGAGCTCCTAGTCAAGGAAGTTCACAAAATACAACTAATAATAACCAAAGTAGAACCTACTCAACAGTCGCCGCCCAAAATAAATTTAATTTACCATCAAAAAAACAAGCAATAGTTTTCTCTGCCCTAGATAACACTAAAGTGGAAGAATATTTATATGCAATTGGAAACAAAATCCAACCCCAAAATATTTTGTTCATATCTCGCATCTCAAATAACCGAATATGCATCTATTTATCAAGTGAAGCAATCGTAGAAAAATTCCTAAATACAGATAATGGATCAGTAGTAGTTAATCAACAAATCATTCAAGGCCGTCGTCTAATAAATGCCAACGAACGACTAATTATCTCTAACGTTTGTTTGACAATTCCTCATTTAGTTATCGAAGATGCTTTGAAACGAATTGGACTATCACTTGTAACTACCTAAAATTTCCTGAAGATTGGAACCCAAGCTTCAGAATATAAACACATCTACAGCTTTCGGAGACATGTATACATTAACCCTCCAAAAAAATATATCAATCCCAGAATCTATTATTATTGATTATGACCAAACATCCTACCGAATCTACCTATCGTTCGACAACCAGATCTGCTTTGTATGTAAACAAAGCGGCCATATGGCACAAAGCTGTCCACATTCCATTAACTTTTCTTCCACAACTAACCAAAATACACAATCACTGTCACAAACAAACAAGGGAAACAATACAACTATCTCAGCAAATAATTCTAGCAAATCGATCATAAATGTACCACAATCATACCCTTCATCAAGCAATATACCGACATGCCCACAAACAAATGCTTTCTCCACTCCAGCAGATAATTCCAACCAATCTAACATATCTATTATACAATCCTGTTTCCAATCAAGCAATTAGGCATTCCAACGACCTGTCCAAATGGTTACCAGTGGGTAATGACAGTTTAGATATGGCAACCCTGTTGTCATTAACAGGGTCAATGATACATATATAGTTATATAGATTGCTCAAAGCTGGTCGTTTACGAGCGGCCATATTGCCTGGCAAATATTTATTAATTTGAATCAGTTTAGCAAAAATGTGTTTTAAAACCAATTTTTAGCCTTTAGATATTTAAAAAAAAATAATTGCTTACATTTTTACTTCAAGGCATAAACTTATATTTATTTTGAAAAATATGGATGATCAATCTATGTAACTATCTATTTCATTGACCTTGTCAAATCACCAGGTCTACAGGGTTGCCATAATTTTGCATATCATAACCCGTTAAAACCCACTGGTAGCCATTTAGTTTGGAATGCCTAATATCCAACCTGAGGCCAACATACAAACAAATACATCAATACCAACTGATACTTTAGTGGCCTCAAATTCACTTGAAAACACAACACAACACCAGCATATTAAAGATCAAATGAAAAAACAAGAATGCGTTCAATCTACAAAAAGGCAAATTTCTGAAATCATAACACCACCAGCATAGAATAATCCAGAACAAAATATATTTACTATACCTGGAGCTAAACCAGTGAAAAAATCAAAAACATTTAATCTTAATAAGAAAATACAGGATCCACTTGATGAAATAGTGCAACCCATATAAGATTTCCTTAAAGATACCTCTTTCTCCTTCCCACTTAACTTCGAAGAATTAAGTTTACTAATAGAAAATGCCCAAGGCTCACAAGACCCCCTCAGTATTGTAAAAACCTTTTCTGATGATATTGAAGACCTTATAGATATGTTATTATAGTTCATCCTTACTGTGCTATTAGTAAGCTTAAGACTAGAATTACTAAACTAAGGAAAAAAATACAGAGACAATTCCAACCTGAAAGTATACTTGAATCATCAGATACAGATACCTCAATAGATAACCAGTAAACAAACAAATTATATTTAATATTCTTAACTCTATAATTCACTACACCCATTTAGAAATGTTAAAAGTATTGATAAATAAATATAATTCTTCAATAATATGTCTTCAAGAAACACATTTTAAAAACAACAATGTTCACAAACATAGAAACTTTAACGGCTTCTATAAAAATAGAGATATTTATAATCATGCCAGTGGATGTGTAGCCACATACATACATAACTCAATTGACAGTAAACAAATTACACTAACAACAGACTTAGAAGCAGTAGCGGTATCGATAGAAGGCCCAACAAACATCAATATATGTAACATTTATATTCCTCCAGACACTAGTCCAACTTTACATGATATAACACACCTTTTAAATCAAATAAATACTCCTCGCATCATACTTGGCGATTTAAACGCACCTAATTTCATATGGGGCTCAAAGAAACAAACACCACTAGGGCGCACAGTGGAATCAGTTATATTTATGACCTAAATCTACTAAATGATGATAGAAGCACACGTTTTAATGCAACAACTGGCGAATCCTCAGCAATTGACATAACTTTAAATGATCCTGCATTATCAGTCTTTCTGTCTTGGGACGTCCTTCCTTTCACCTACGATAGCGACCATTTCCCAATAATTATAGCCAATTTTATCAATAAACAATCTCAATATCAAACCCAAACCCAACCAAAATGGAGAATAAAGAATGCGGACTGGGAACTTTATTCCACACTGATAACTAATAACCAAGCTTTAAAATATCACTTCAATAATAATAATAATAGTTCTATAGACACCAAACTAAATTCCTTTAACGATTTTATCATAAGTGTAGCAGAAATAGCAATTGGGAAAACTAACTTTAAAAAACCTCGAAAAGCAGTACCTTGGTGGAACACAGAGTGTGAAGTAGCTATAAAAGAATATAAAAAAGCGTTTAACCGATTCAAAAGAAACAAAATCTAGTAAGTCAGATAGAATTCAAAAGACTATGAGCCAGAGCTAGATTCATAATAAAGAAAACTAAACAGGAATCATGGAGAAAGTTTGTATCCGACTTAAATACATCAATCCCCATTAGCACTGTCTGGACCATGATAAGGAAACTTAATAGAAAAAACTCATACAGCGCAATAAACTACATTGAGGACAATAGTTCAGTTTTGATATCGAAACAAGATATCACAGAATCTTTAGCAAACAATTTTTATCTATCTTCAAGCAACAGTTCACTATCACAAGAATTCCGGACATTAAAATACAATGAAGAAAATAACAGAATATCATTTGAATTAGCCAACGACTCTGAACTCAATGTACCAATCACCATAAATGAGTTGAAATCGACCATCAATGATTTAAAAGATACAAGTCCTGGACCTGATGATATACCCAGCATCTTCCTTAAAAAACTTCCTGTAATCAATAATATTACCCAGGATATCGGAAGCCCAATCAAAGCAAGACTATATGCTGATGAACTCGTCATCTTCTTAAGTCGAAAAAATATCAGTAGAATACATAGAACATTACAGGAAGCGTTATATAACATCCAGACTTGGTCTGAAAAAACTGGTCTGCAATTTTCTATCCAAAAAACCAAAGCTATGATTTTTTGACTAAAAAACAATAACGATTTGCCACACCTAAATTTGCACAATCAACCAATTGAGTATGTGGATAGCATAAGATTTCTTGGAATGATATTTGATAAAAAACTTTCATGGGAAGAACATATAAAAAATATTCGATTAAACTGTCAACAGGGTCTAAATTTAATGAGATCAGTAGCACACAAGTGTTGGGGAGCCGATAAAATTATTTTAATGAACTTATACAAAACGCTAATTCGGTCAAAAATAGATTATGGTAGTACTGTTTATAACTCTACAAGAAAAAAACTACTACAACAACTAGATACCATCCACAACAGCGCAATTCTAATGGCCCTAGGAGCATTTTACACAAGTCCAAGAGAAACTTTATATTGTGAAGCAAGTGAACCACCTCTGTCACTACGTAGAGAATATCTAAGCTTGACATTTGCAGGCTGTTGCTGCTAATCCTGGAAATCCAGTGAATAACTATGTCTTTGCCAATCGTTTCCAAGATATTTACAGAAAAAGAATCCATCTCCCTTTTTACCAACGCCTAAACCAGTACCTAATTCACCTTAACCTAAACTTTCCACTCGTATATACTCCCTCAAAAATTAAGACTCCTCCCCTTGGACAATACCTCAACCATTCTTTGACACAAGCCTGACCATGTATAAAAAAATCAGAATTCAACTCCATATTTCTTAAAGCCAAATTCCAAGAAAAAATTAACCCCTACATAGAGTATTACCATATTTATACTGATGCAGCCAAATCAGAAACAGGAATAGGAGCTGCTTTCGTATCTCTTGGAAAAAGCTTATCTTGTAAAATTCCGTCCACAGTCCATGAGATAGAACCCCCAAAATGCCTAATAATTACTGATTCTCTTAGTGCTATAATGGGAATGAAACAAATATACCCCAGTCACCCAATTCTAATATACATAAAGGCGGAACTTCATACCATAGCCCAAAAAGGTATCACACTTGGAGTCCTATGGGTACCATCACATACTGGGATAGAAGGAAACGAAAAAGCAGATATTCTGGCAAAAGCAGCTATCTCAAGTACCGAATCAGTGAACATCGAGGAGATAGTGCACTTAGATCTAAAATCTTATATAAAAAGTGTCGTGCAGAACGAGTGGCAATCAGAGTGGACCCGGTCAAGTTCGAAATTAGCGCAAGTGAAAACTTCGGTGTTACCGTGGAAATCAGTGCCTTTAAATCGTTTTAATCAGGTGGTCTTATCTCGTCTAAGAATAGGTCATACCGGAGTAACGCACAAACATTTAATGTCTGGTGACCAAGAACCGCTATGTTACATATTTGATACTCTCATAACAGTAAAACACATTCTAATTGAGTGTCCTCTATACACCTTAGAACGACAAAATAACAATCTCCAAAACAACTTGAAAGCTCTACTCCAGGATGATAGTGACCATAAAAATTTAATTAAATTTTTAAAAGACATACAACTGCTACATAATATGTGATCTAGATAATATGGCTGCTAATAACCCCCCGAGGTTGATGCAGTATTGTAAATTAAAAAAAAAAAATTTATAGGTTAAAATTAGAAACAAAACTTTTTGGCTTGTCAAGTTTTGTTCAATCAGGACCGTTTCTTAAAGTTACTTGTTCTTAAAATGCTATTCTCATACACTCTAATGAATCCCAGTGGACATTATGTTTAAGTTTCGGTTTATTACTAAAATGATTGTATCGTCCATTTATGTTAGATATTAATGTGATGATAAAAAAGAAAACTTTATTAAAATAAATATTTCATTATGAAACACCACTATACAGGGTGTTTCATAATATATACGCAAGACTTCAGGACGTGATAGCTCGTCCAAGAATATGAAAAAACGTTTTTATTAACTCACCCTCTAAAATGCACCATTTTCGAGATACAGGGTGTTGAAATTGAAAAAAAAAATTCTACG